GAGGGAGAGGGAGAGGGAGAGGGAGAGGGAGAGGGAGAGGGAGAATAAGAATGAGAATGAGAATGAGAGTGAGAGTGAGAATGAGAAGTAGAATGAGAATGAGAGTGAGAAGTAGAATGAGAAGTAGAATGAGAAGTAGAATGAGAAGTAGAATGAGAAAGAGAGTGAGACAGAGAAGAGAGAGAGAAAATTAAGCAACGATCAACAGAACTCAACGCAGGCAAAATGCAAAGCAACGTGAAGAACAGTAATTCATGAGACAACAGCCAATACCTCCCCAGGACGATACAATACTAGCATACTCTCTCTATCCTCTTCCATCAAATCCTCGAATCAATCGGCATCATCCCCTTGGACATCCGCTTAATCTGCCCAGCGAAATAGCCAGTCTGGACGCCGGTGCCCACAGCCTTGATCGGGATCCAGCTCACCCAGCCCGGGACCGGCGGGGTCGCCACACTGACCCGAGCCTCGTCGTCGGGGATCTCCGCGTTCAGGAGGATCTCACGCGGCAGCTTCGGCAGCACAGTCGCCGGTCTCCCCAAGCCGATCAGATCACACGCCCCGGACTCGAGCGCAGCCTGCATGCCGAGCCTCGTGCGGAACCCGCCGGTCACCATCAGCACGATCCGGGGGAAGCGGCGGCGGATCTCCTGAGCGAAGTGCAGGAAGAAGCTCTCGCGCAGGAGCGTGCTCGGCTTGGGGGTGGCGGCGGCGGTCGTGCCGGGGGCGTCATTCACGACCGCGGCGCGCGCGTTGGGGTCCTGCATCATCAGCGGTCGCTCATACGTCCCGCCCGAGATCTCGAGGAAGTCCACGCCGGCTGCCTCGATCAGTTGGACCTGCTCCATGACGTCGTCGAGGGATTCCGAGGACGAGGCGTCGACGCTGTTGAGCTTGATGCCGATGCAGAACTCCGGGCTGGTGGCTCGGCGGATGCCGCGCACGATGCGGAGGACAATCTCCACGCGCGTTGCTGCCGTGCCGCCGAACGCGTCGCTCCGGTAGTTGGTGTCGGACGACATGAACTGGGCCAGCAGGTATCCGTGGCTTTTGCGAAATCAGCATGTATGCATCGCCATCCCGCGAGCCAGAGAGACGTACCTGGCGTGGAGCTCCACACCTTTGAAGCCAGCGTCGAAGCATTGCCTCGCTCCAGTAACAAACTGCTCGATAATCCCTTCCTGGCCAGCAATTTCCTCCAGAGTCAGCTCCCGAGGAGTTCCAAAGATCAGAGAGACAAGAGCGCGGGCAAGCCAGGAGTCTCCCATGCTCAACTTCTTCGGAGAGGGCGCCACAGCTTTCGTGAAGAGCCCATGTCTTCCGGCGCCGAGGGGCGACTGACGCCCGGGATGGTTGAGCTGAACGATCGCAGGACTCCCAGATCTCTGGCACACCGCGGCCCAGTTCTTCCATCGGGCCTTTTGCTCGGGAGTCTGGCCCTGGAACGATGTCTCTACGTCTGCCGCCGAGCCGTGGTACAGCTCTGAAACTATCACGTTTCCTGACCAAGTGTCACTTGGTTTGTTTTCTTGAGACTTGTAGATGTAGCCGAGGAGGAGGGAACTCTTTACCTGTCATCACCATCCCCCAACCTCCATCTGCCCAGTTTCCATAGACCTTTGGGAAGGCCTCGTTTGGGTCGTGAGAAGGCGCCATGCTCTCGGCCATTGCAGCCTTTGCGAGTCGGTTTGGAAGCCGCAGACCGCATGGCAGCGTAATCGGCTGCGAGAGCAGCATGTTGGGTTCCCGGGAATCCATGATCGGTTTTAATACCGGAATCCCTCGGATCCACCGCGCGTTGTTGACTCTTCAAGTACAGAAAGTGAATTTAAAATGTAGAGGATAGACAGCTGAGGCGCGGTGTTTGAAGTGGGTCCCGATACCGTATCAGCTTTCGAGTTTCCGCTGGCTCCGCTGGGCGCTACTGTATTAACGCACTTCTGGAATCTGGAGAGGAAAAGATTCGCAGAGAATTACGGACTCTATACCTTTCTATCAACCTGAATAAAGAAACTCGCTTCGAACAAAAGTCGTGCCCTCCGCCGGTGAAACGTCGACGCTCATTCTTCTTCGCCAATTCCGACCTTCTGCACGGCAACTCCGCGGGAGCAATGAATGCAATTATCCGAAAAACCCAACCGCTAGGTTGATACAAAAAGTCTACAACTATATCTACGAACCAACGGTATCGATACATCTCATCTCGTACACAAAAACACCCCAGGAAAAAGGATAAGCCCCAATCTCAGTCTACAGACAGCGAACCCCTCGCTATTCCGGGAAAAGCAAGCCCAGCCTCAAAACTCCCTACCATGTGGTCATCTCAGAGACTGCCCTGGGCCGCCTCACTCTCGGTCTGGGGTCAATAAAAAATACCTAACTGACTGAATGCCACGCTCAAATAGCAGAACCAAACCATCCTCCCCTGCCCGTCTTCCGCTCACCGGAAACTGGACCGTCTCCTCATACGCGTCGCCATCGCGCTTGTTGGACTTGAGGAGTCGTCAGGCCGCCGCTCAGGAATGCCGAGTTTGATTTCTCCCACCCTCCTCAGCAGACCTTGCAAAGCCATGCGGACTTCGGTTCCCATGTCTCTATTCAAGAGATCGGCGCCGAGGGGATAGAACGTCTCAATGTACCTCTGAAAGTCTTCGCGTGGGAAGTTCACGTAGCCTTCCAGCACATCCACCACAACCGGTCTCCACGCAATGATGTTCCTTTGCTGAGACTCTTCCTCTAGCTGCGTGAAACCGCGAATTATATCCGCGCAGAGCGGCACAAGTGCAGCTTCCGTGTCGCCGCGGTTACGCTTTCGCTCCTCGCTGTCGTCGTGGTACATGCGTAGCAGGATGCTGACGTACGTAGCGGCGCTTCCGCTCTCCTGCTTAAGTAGGTTGGGGGGCTGCTTCATGAAACCTTCGCGCCACAGACGCATGCGCAGCTCCTTGTTCTCGTTAAAGCGCTTGGCGAAAAGAAAACTCTTCTTGAGGAGGCCCATGAGGCGGAGGAGTTCGGGACTCGGGATTTGTGTGTACACGGCATCGTTAGAGAAAAGCTCGTTGACAGTTTCGATCATTAGGAGTTGAAGGACGCATTTCGTGATGATCTTGTTGAAGAATCGTCGACGGGCAGCGGTGACGACGACTGGCTGTTGCTGAAGTCCTGACTGTGGTTTGTAGTCTTCCAGGTCGGTGGCTGTTGCTGCTGTTGGCGTGATGGATGCGGCCTCGTTGATGCTTTCTGCGTCTGATGCTAGGCCGTGGGCTGTTACAATCCTCAGAGATTTCTCGTCTACTGTCGGCTCATCTATGGGAGACATTGCACCATCTAACCCCCCAGCGGCTGAGCTAGTAGCGGAGAAGAGTTGAGATGCCGTGGTCTTCTCGAAGAGTTCCACAAAGGCTCCCACAATTTTCGACCAATGTGCAGGCTGGAACCTCGTGACATTCTGCAGGATCAGCTGTTGGAGACAATTGCTGCCAATGCGAGCGATCGTATCGTTTTCTTGACAAATGCACAGCGTCAACAGATCCAAGAATCTGTCGAGCATGTACTCGAGTGATTTGAAGTAATAGGTGAAGAGGGAGATCATGTTTCGCAAGGCTTGGATCATGGTCGTTGATAGCCAGACAGATAGTTCCTCCTGGGTAAGGACATTGGACATCTCCGAATTTGATTTCAACACCATGAAGATCGGATAGAGCAGCTGTCGCCAGAGTATATCCCAGAAATCGTGTGGGAAGTTGCGACCGTAATTGATGAGAGACTCGAATAGATAATTAAGTGCGTTTGATCTCACTTCCAAGTCCTCACCCGTCATCAGAACATCGTGGAAGGCGAAGAGGACTGGGAACCAAAACGCTTCTTCTTGCGACGTCCTGCTTATTTGATTGGATGCCAGGTCTGGGGACTTGATGGAGCCGTCGGAGTTTACGTCCGATTGATTCGACAGCGGGCACTCCGGTGTCTTGAGCATCCTTGGGATGATCGATTTGAGAGTCTCCATAGCCTGTAGACCCTTCTTCTGGAACCTCATGTTCTTCGAGAACTCTGTCAAACACACGACAAGGTCGGCGAAAGCAGCTTGGGAGATGACCATGCCAAAATGAGTCTTGTAGACTTGATTGACATTATCGAAGGCAAGGTTGACGATACTCTCGTATGGTTCTCGAGCAGCAACAGTAAACACGCCAAACATCGTTCGCCATCCGGAACGAATATTCGCTCCTCGCGCTTGGATCATCTGAATCAGACAGCGGAGGATCATATCTTTGACGGTAGAGACGCTGCTGTTCGCCATGACATGTTCGAATGGCTTGAGGAAGTCTTTCTGGAACTTGAAACCGGGTAGCTCTTCAATCTCCATGAATCGCATTGACAATTGGCGCAACGAGTCTAGAGCGAAGAAGACTACGCGAGTATTGTTGTAACACCCAACCCGATTGAAGTGCTCTCCTAATACCGCCCAGATGTTGGTCCACTCGAATCTGACTCTGGTCATGTTGTAATAACTGATCTCAACCAGTTTTTGGAGACAGTATGTTCTAGGATTTTCGGTTTGACCTCCTGTCCTGATCTCCTCCCAGCTCACTTCAGTTAGGGCCCTGACAAAGTGAACGATGGCTTCACCCGATAAATTCGCACTGTTGGTGAAAATCCGGTCCACGCCCCTGATGACCTCCTCTGAGCGACTCTCCATGGCAATTTCCATCGAGTAGATCGTGCCTGAAGTCGTGGAGCGAGGCCTTGGACGAGCTGGTCTTGTTGATTGACTCGATTTTCTCGAATTTATGGATTGTGCATCGGCCTTCGACGCAGGCACGATCCTGGCCTTGGATACATCTGGGATTGAACCCTCGTCAATGCCGTCGGATATCAGCTGCAATCTATCCAGCTGACTGATACACATCAGAATATCCCGCCACGAGCCTTTTAGGAGGCCACCTTCCGTCTGCCCAATCTCGATCAGAACCTTGAGAGCCTCGACGTGCTTCGCTTGCATCTCTGTTGGGTTGTTAAGGTTAGTGGCGTTCTTCAATGCCGAGACGAAGGCCTCTCGCGCGGTTTCCAGATCAAAGAGGCATGCAATGCGGACGGCGAGTTTCATGCCCTCCATGCACAGCCTGACGATCTCAATGTTGTGAGCGTGTTGCATTTGACCTGAGAATCCAGAAAAGAACGACATCCAAGTGACGTCAAACATCGGACCAACGTGCTTAAATGACGTGGCAGGGATGAACTTGATACCCCCCGATTTTGCGGCATTCTTGCGTTGGTTGCGGAACAAGTTCTTAAACAGCTGTTCAGACCGATTCGAAATCTCTTCAGATTGTTGCAAATAGGCCTCTCGCTGTAGATCCCGACCAACAGTAGCCAGAGCCTGACCGAGACCCGCCGCAATCCCACCCGACTGCTGAGGTATTATTCCCATGGCTGCGGCAGCTTCCCTCTCACTTTTTAAAACGATCTCATTCGCATGAATCTCTTCAAAAATACCATTGAGATACTCGTCCGGAAGGTTGGCATTATCGTTGATGCCTCGATTGTTCTTAATGAAGTCTTCCTTGGTCATACGCTTGACGACTTGTCGACTATGCGCATCGGTGTTCAACATGATTACCGAGTAGGCAAGCACGTAAGCTGTATCTGCATTGGCAAAAGCATTCGGGTTGCCGGTCACATATCGATTGGCAAACTTCAACATGAAGCGATCGATTTTCTGTGACTCTCCTGGCAGGCGGAAAGACTGGAGAAATTGTCTCAAAGCATCGACGAAACGACGTTTCGTGAAGTCCATAGTGTCAACGAAAGCATGCATGATGGCAATGTTCCGCTCGTCGCCCTCACCAAGGTATTCTCCGATTTGAGCCTTATCCAATCGTTCTTCGGTGATCAAGAAGTGTGCAATATCCACAGGAGTATCACTTGGGATAAAACCTTCATTGAGCAGTAGCTGAATTCCACGCTTAGGCTTGAAGTTAAATTGCTTGATTGCATTGCTCAGAGCCGTTTTCCTTTGCTTCTCCTTTTCAAGTTGATTCGGATCATCATCGACGATTGGAGTAGAAGGCGGCATAGGTGTGTCGCCGTTCGTGATTCGTGAGGAGGTCTCGATTTGCGACGGGTCAAGCGACTGCCGTGCGTCTTCCGAATGCCTCCCTTCTCCATCGGGGCTCCCAGTGACTTCGGCAATACCCTGTTGAGACCAATTGACCATCGATCTCAGCGTTTCCACGAGACAGTCCAAAGCGAGACGTTTGATGATGTACTCTTTCGGCACTTCATCATCAACATTCGCATGCCGATCAGTTAGGTGAGCAGTCGTCAATGAAGGGGGAAGAGTCCCCCGAGCTTGCCAGTCTGACCCTGAGCCATTCAGAGCCCCTTTTACAGCTCGCTCTTCGTACTGTTGTTGGTGAAGCGGGCTGACCATAACAGCTTGACTCGCAGCTTTGGAGAGATCCTCAATTAGAGTCTGGAACATGTTATCAACATTCCTGTCACAATCATAATTCAAATACGTCTCGACTAGCGCGCGTGGATCTCCACAATATCTCTGAAGGATACCCATGAAATACAGCTTTTGGGCAACGGGAGCATTACGCCGTTCCAGAAGCGCCAGGTAGATCTCATTGAGGAACACCTCGATTTCTTTCTGTCATAGGGTCAGTCAGGCAGTCAAAAAAAAAAAAAAAAAAAAAAAACTAGGTCCAACGCATTGAGCACAACGCACCTTAAATGGAGCTCTCATATATTTCAGCATAAGCCAAAATATCTCGCAGCACACTTCAAAAACTCTATCCACCGAACTTGCACCGTTGCGAGTGATGCTCAAACACAGGTAGAACTTGATAGCCTGCAAGAATCCCGTGGGCTCGTTGCTTTTGCTGTTGGTGATGGTACAAAGAGGAGAAGTGAAGACGAGCATATTATTATTTAGTAAAGTGTGAATCAAGTGAAGCGAAATCAGTTTGGACCGCATGGCTTGCCCCTTTAGATCGTAGAGTTGGTCGGGCGGGAGAACTTTAGTACTGAGATTGCAAAATGATCGGAATACCAGATATGCGTCCCTGATGTAGACCTCGTCTTCGTTTTCCTCAGAGTCCATTTCTTCGTCCATGCAGTCCTCAGTGGGTGTAGTCTCCCCTGCTGTGTATTGAGGTGCTGGCTGAAGATGCTTCAACTGCGTTACCATTGTTGAACCGTCTCCCATTTGTGAATCGTCAAAGCTCTTGCGATGTTCGAGATCTTTCAACGTGAGTTTTGGCCCCTCTTCTTCAGACGGCATTTCTGAAGTGACGCTCTCTTCCACGGACTCCTCTCTTGCATCACTGCTATGGGGCTCCGCCGAGACATCGACAGTATATGAACTTATGTTGCCTGGGCTCTTGTCTGATTTCGAGAGGTTCAATCGAGCTTCCTTCATGTGAATCCGTGTCTTGACCCGTTCAAAGACTGTCCCGACCATCTGCGTCAAGGTTCCTTGAGCCACCTGCTGATTCGTACTGCTCCTCGAGAGAAGGAAGACATTATAGACCTGCCGTACGGCTTTAAGTAAACCAGCACCATGCACCACAATTTTATCGTTCAACACAGCTGCCAGTAAGGACTTCACAATCTGGAGTTGTATCTCCACCGCCGTGGTCTCTCCTTGAAAGCAGTCGCATATCGTATTGATCGCTCGGTCGATCAGAGGCTCTCGGGAAGCCTCCTTGTCGGCGTTAGGAGAAGATGGGACGGAGAAGTAGGAATAGCTGATGAGCTTTCCAATGCAATCCAGAGCTGTCGTGGTCAAGGGGATGCTGCCGGATTTGGTGGCCCATTGTAACGGCGCAAATATGATCTCGGGGTCGGGCAATTGGGGCGCATGCTCCTTGATATCCTTCAGGGCTTTCTGAACCGACTCGGAGAGCGGTTTGCTCTTGTTGGCCTCTTTGGAAGCCGCAATAGCTTCCAGCGCTGACACTACAAAGACGATGGAGCTCATCGTAAGGTCGTGAATAGGCCGGCTCCCATATGTAGTAGTAGGTAAAAGAAGTACTGGCTGTCGCGGGCGCTGTCGCTGTCGCTGTCGCTGTTACTGGATGTGTTGTCTCGCCTGGAGATAATTCGAGGCTGAAGTAAAGTGAGACGGAGTTGCAGGCGGGTCGGGTCGGGTCGAGTCGAGTTCGTGTGTTGAGAAAAGAAATATTCCCAGTCTGATTATTGAGTAGGTGTTGTAGTGTAGGTATTTACCACGTCTCCCGCATCATCCCCTTTGCGTACAAATGAGTGGTGAAATAAAAGAAAGAAGCTGTCCAATCCCCGATAAGCTATGGCCGTAGCCCTGAATCCCTGCGTATGTAAGCGCGGCGTCTGCTGGGCCAATTGCATGCTCCGTCCATCAGGGCTTGACGATGGGGGTAGCTAGACTCTACTGCAGAGTAGCCCCGGCTCCGCTAGGTCCGACCGAGAATTTATTCTCAGTCTCAACGAATTTCGCCCGGAACTCGCATCCTCTATCCCACATCATCTTCCTCTTCCTCAACCCTCTCGTCCGCGACGCTGCTGGTCCACGACCTCAATTGTCTGGACACTTCTACTCTCAGTTCCCTCGTTTTATCTCTTCTGAATTCTTTACTACGCTCAAAGCTCGACAAGATGTTCGCTGCGGTCCTGAGACGGCGCGCAGTGCAGTCCTCCCTCCCCTTCCAATTCGCTCGATGCTATGCCTCCAAGTCTTTTCCGCCTCATACGGTGGTCACAATGCCCGCTCTGTCGCCCACTATGACATCCGGTAATATCGGGACGTGGCAGAAGAAGGTTGGAGACGCGGTCGCCCCGGGAGATGTACTGGTTGAGATCGAGACCGACAAGGCGCAAATGGACTTTGAGTTCCAGGAGGATGGCGTTCTGGCCAAGATCTTGAAGGAATCGGGCGCGAAGGATATCGCAGTTGGTAATGTACATGCCCAATGCAGCTTGATTCCTACTCAGTACTAAACTGACATTCCTAGCCCATCGCTGTCGTGATCGAGGAGGGCGCCGATGCGTCTGCCTTCGATGCCTTCACACTCGAGGATGCTGGAGGAGAGAGTGCACCTGCACCACCACCAAAGGAGGAGGCCAGCCAATCGTCCGAGACCGCAGACACACAATCTGGAACTGCTCCACCAAAGGCCAAGTCAACACCAGCCCCCGAACAAACCGAGTCGAGTGGTGGAAAGTTAGAACCGGCTTTGGCGAGAGCTCCGAATGCGAGTGCTGCGGCTATCAGATTGGCAATTGATTCTGGTGTCAAAATCACTGGTCTCAAGGGTACTGGAACTGGTGGGCAAATCACTGAGGCCGATGTCAAGAAGGCTTCCTCTGGAAGCGCTCCAGCTGCCCCGGGTGCGGCTCCTACAGCTTCATACGTCGACACCCCCATCTCCTCCATGCGCAAAACTATCGCCAACCGTCTCACCGAGTCTATGAACCAAAACCCCCACTACTTTGTTGCAGCCACTGTATCCGTTAGCAAGCTCTTGAAGCTCCGAGCTGCCCTCAACGCTTCCGCAAATGGCGAATACAAGCTCTCGGTCAACGATTTCTTGATCAAGGCTGTCGGTGTTGCATGCAAGAAGGTGCCTACTGTCAACTCCAGCTGGAGAGACGGTTTCATCCGCCAATTCAACAACGTTGATGTCAGCGTAAGTTCCACTCTACAATGTATACGTATATACCACACTGAACGCTAATCCAATTCCCAAGGTCGCTGTCGCAACCCCCGTCGGCCTCATGACCCCCATCGTCAAGAATGTCGAAGGTCTCGGTCTGTCGTCCATCTCCGCCGCCGTCAAGGACCTCGGAAAGCGTGCGCGCGATGGTAAGCTCAAGCCCGAAGAGTACCAAGGCGGAACCTTTACCATCTCCAACATGGGCATGAACTCCGCGATTGACCGCTTCACCGCCGTCATCAACCCACCCCAAGCCGGTATCCTGGCCGTTGGAACCACCAAGAAGGTTGCCATCCCTGTCGAGACCGAGGAGGGCACTTCGCTAGAGTGGGACGACCAGATTGTAGTCACGGGCTCCTTCGATCACAAGGTTGTGGATGGTGCGGTGGGTGGTGAGTGGATCAAGGAGTTCAAGAAGGTGGTGGAGAATCCCTTGGAGCTGCTGCTGTAAGTGGGTGGATAGGGATGGGAGACGGAGAAATGAGGCGTAGGTGGGAGACTGCGTTGTAATTGGCATAGAGAGATTCCCCATGTAACCTTGTACAATGACCCCCGTGCTGCCTTTATTTTCGTAAATAGACCCGGGGGAGGGTAACCGGGGAGGGGGATCAAAATCGACTATGAAAAATCCCAAGTCCACTCATCTAATACCTACCTACACAACGCAAGAACTTTGTCCAAGGCTGCCTGGAACACTCACCCAGTACAACCATTCATTCACACGTGAAATAACACTTGAGAGCGACACTCAATCGCCGATGGAGAAGAGAGAGAGAGAGAGAGAGAGAGAGAGAGAGAGAAAAGAAAGAAAGAAGATGCGCCTCAAATTCATCTACGCATCTACTCTACTTTACTCTACTTTACTCTACTTTACTCTACTTTACTCTACTTTACTCTACTTTACTCTACTTGATTCGGTATCTCCTCGTAATTCCTTCCTTCCTTCTTCCTTCCTTCCTTCCTCCTACCTTCCTTTCTGTCTGTATGTCTGTATGTCTGTATGTCTGTATGTCTCTCTGTCTCTCTCTCTGTCTCTCTCTCCGCACACACAGTATACTTACTATACCTACCATACACGATATCATACCATAGCATAGCATACCATACCCTACCACATCCTAACGATTCCTCTCTTATCTTGCCCTTCCCAATCCCCAATCCCCAATCCCCAATCTCCACCCTTCAATCTCCAACCTCCATACTCAAGAGCCCAGCCAGTCATGTACCTACCTATCTCTACACATAACATCATAACATCATAACATCATAACATCATAACATCATAAAATTGTAAAATATTATATTATTCCGTGTATACAAACCACGCTCCGAGACACCTACACCTACACCTACACCTAGGTACCCCTCCCTCCCTTCATCCCAGCAAACGACAAGGGAGGGAAAAAACAAACACCCTCTTCCCAAAAGAATCAGTCAGTCCCACGCACCTACGTGATTTCAACGCTTCCCTTCTTTTCGCGACTCGGAGAACGCCGCCCAATGCCGCTTGTTTCTGTTTCTTTTTCTCTTGTTTTTTTTTTCTTTTGGCCTAGGCTGCCTGCCAGTAGACCTGGAGACGACTGTAGAATGATATGATACCGAGACGAGATAGGAATCTGCTTCCCTCATGGACCGCCAGCACACCCCCCCAACTTCCCAACTTCCATGTCTTTATTGACACTTCTTCCAAGTAAAACAGGTAGAGCCTATTTCAATAACCTCAGGGCCCTGTTCCCATTCCCATTCCCATTTCCATTACCATTCCCACCCCCACCATAAACCCCCGCAAAGTCCAACTGCCCCAGCATCCCACTCACCTCATCAATCTCCCGCCCCAGATCCCCCATATTTCCGCTCAGCGCAGCAACCTCATCGAACCGCCTGGCCTTCTTCGCGGCATCCACCATCTCCGCGACCAGGAACTTTTGCTCCTCGAGCACTATCAGGCGTTCCCTGAGCTCCTTCTCTTCGGCTTCGATGGCCGAAACGGCGGAGCTGGAGCTGATTTGCGACGCCGAGTCAATGTCGTTAGACTTGACAGCCGCCAGGGCGCCACGGCCATTGGGAAGGCCGTTAGCCCCGTGCGGAGAGGCGTGTTTGAGGATCTTGGGGAGGGATTTGAGGGGTAGCATGTGGATACTCAGAAAGTTGGCTGCTTGTTGGTAGATGGCTTTCTGCAGCTTCGCCTGCGCAGCACTTTTTGTAGGCAAGTCACGTATGCGTTTCGCAGCCAAATCGTACTTGCCAAAGCTATCGATCAGGCGTTTCCGGACTTTGGACGCTTCCGTCAACGTCTGGTGGGAGGGCGGTTTATCAGGGTCTTGCAGGGCAATGAGAAGCCGTTGAAAGTTGGGGAGGAGGAGGCGGATGCCTCTCTCAAATTGTAGGAGGTTTTCGTAGGCGCGTTGATCGGGCGGTTTATGGGAGACGGAAGCTGCGAAGTCCTTTTTGTTGAATACTGTTGCTTTGCAGTCTCTGCACATGCGGATGTCGATGCTGAGTTCCGTGGTTCCGTTCTTTTCGGACTGGAGGTTAGTTGCTGGACATTGTCAGCCGCTGAGAATCGTGAAAGCGGAATGTGCAATTTACCTGCTGTCACGTTCAGGCCTATCTCCATTGAGCAGCCTGTTCGAAGGTCCGAGCAGACTACTCTTCCACATAATCGGCAATGGTGCCGCCGGAACGACCAAGATCCGAACTCTTGTTGGCAAAATGGACATTTTGACACTTTCGCGTCTTCCTCCCAAGTCACTACCGATTGCTCCAGTATCTTCCGCTGGTTCTTCAGCCCTGAAATTGACAGTATCCCACCATTACTTCCTGACAAGTCTTCAGATGGCGTTGCCAACAATTGGGTTAGCTTAGTGAGCCTCTTCTCCAATCTCGATATCTCCAGGTATTCCCTGTCCACTTTCTTCCTCCGCATCGCCATGAAATTGGCAGAATCGTCTCGTATGAGTCCATTATGGTCATTATACCATTCCCTTGACTTGAAGCAAGTCTCGCAGGTCCTGCACCACAGCCCTCGAACTGGCTCATGTTGGGCCGACCTCGAAAGCTTCATCTGGTACATAGTGTGATCCTCGCAGAACAATCGCCCGCACTTCCTGCAGTTTACACTTCCATTGACAGCTCCGAGCCTCTTCCCACATGCTGGCTCCGTACATAGGTCGCTGAAACCCGTCCTCTGCCAATGTGCCCTAGTAACTACCTCGTCGGGATCGATCATCCTAGCTGGCTCTGGCGTTGAATTTCGGTTGCCTGAGTGGGAGATGGGAGCGGAAGCTGCCATGGACATAGACTCGTTCGATTCGAAAACATCCAATCCTTTCAATTTTTGATTGATCACTGCCAACGGCTGGAAATTCTTGGCTTTTATAACCTGCTTGTCGAACCAATTCTTGACCTCATCCTGCTCGACTGCTGGCAGTTCCTGATGGTTGTCGTCCAGATGTCTGCAGACTATTAGCGATTGTGCGTCGTCAAAAAAGGATAGGTCCTCTTACCGATTGAGTTGCAATAATGTCATCTGTAATCGTCAGTATAGTTTTTCACAGTGTTTCAAGAAACTTACCATTTCGTCGTTACAGATGGGACAGAGGAGCCTGCTACTTGCCCCCGTACCTGCCGACCTTCCGTTTTGCAGAGAGACTACAGATCTCAAGTCCTGTCCATCTGGTATGGGCGAGGTACCCAGAGGAGAGGCAGACGACCCTCCAGACGAAACGGTGCTTTCCGCCGTCGAGGAGATCAGCGACGAGGTTCGCTGATGCGCCGGGGGAATGGGAGGTGCCAGCGACTTTCCACTCCCCAGAACCCTCCCGCCTCCCAGTTTCCTACCAGACATGGCGGGAGTAGATGGACGGAATCCGGGTTCCTCAGAAGAAGCAGAGGCCTGCCAGACCAAGGTGGTTTGGAAGAATGGCCGGCCTGACCTGGGAAACTGCGGCGGTTGCAAGCGTTACCGAGGGTCAGTCAGGCAATGGGTGAGGCGAGGATGCCGAACGATAAGCTCCGTAGGTACTTACTTAGTCTTATCGGGCTGGTGCAAGGATCTCCACCAAAAAAACGTTCGTGAATGTACTAGCAATACTTACTGCGATACTTACTGCAATACTGACCTGAAGACATGGGCGCCGATAAGTTTCCTGAGGTTGAGGGCGGCGGCTCCTTGATTCTGGCATGGCAGATCCGTAACAAGAGGGTTTTGGTGGTCGGGGGCGGGGAGGCAAGTTTCCAATGCGCCGCCGGGCAACCCACGCCCACGGATTGTTTGTTGACTGACTCTGCTAGGTTGCGGCAGGACGGATCCTGAACGTGCTCAATGCAGACGCCAAAGTCACCGTGGTGTCTCCCCGCGCAGGCCTGAATCCCGAAGTGGCATATCGCATCGAGAAGGGCCAGGTCGACTACGTGGACCGGAAGTTCGAAGCGGCGGATCTCGACAATGTCGATATGGTCTTGACGGCAGTGGACGATCCGGTCGCCTCGACGGAGATATGGAAGCTGTGCAAGGAGAGGAGGATTGCAGCCAATATCGCCGATGTGCCACCTGAATGCGACTTCTACTTTGGAAGCATACATCGGGATGGACCGCTGCAGATCATGGTCAGCACCAACGGCAAAGGGCCGCGACTGGCGAATATTGTGCGGAGGTCCATCGCCGAAAAGCTGCCCCCGAACATTGGAGATGCGATCTTGAAGGTTGGACGGCTGAGGCAGAAGCTGAGACAGGTCGCGCCCAACCCTGAGGAGGGACCCAAGAGGATGTCGTGGTTGGTGGCAAAATCATCGTTCCTTGGTGTATATACTAATATGTTATGCCAGGATGATCAAGGTCAGCGACGCCTACAGCTTGGAGGACCTATGTGAGATGCGCGAAGAGGACATGGAAATACTGCTACGATTCTACGGCCCGGATAAGGTACCTCGATTTGGATGTCTCAAGGCCATTGAAGGGAACGATGTGGAAACGCTGTTAGCACCTTATGCTCCTGGCCAAATACCTCCGGCCGGCTGTCCCAAAGCTCTGGAGAGACAGTGGGATGCTTTTGACGGCTCTTTTGGATTCTGTGTTGGGTGCGGATAGGAGGATAGGACTGGAGGGGGGGGGGGGTTGTATTCTGTATAGCCACGGAGTTCAGGCCTGGGTTGGGGATACACTATGGTACATTGTAGTACACCGGACAATTAGGTAGGGAAATCGGAAGTGTAAGATGACGAAGAAGCAATGCCCTTTACCAAGACATCTTCAAGAAAAGCGAACCGACCAAAAGCGTCCCTTCTCTCGCACCACCTACCTACCTATATACAGTGAATACCCTCACTCAACTCACAACTCACAACTCACAACTTCGCCTTCACCCTCTCTCCATCACCAACACCACCACCACTCCCGCCGTGCAGCACCTCCCTCAACGCATCCACCCCCGCCTGCACCACCAGCTGATCCTGCGCCGGCGTGCCCGTACTCGCCCCAATACCCCCAATGACCTCCCCGCGCGCATTCAGGATCGGCAGCCCGCCCCCGAAGGTTGTGAACCGGCCGCCGTTACTGTTCCCCAGGCCGTACGCTGGGCCGCCGGGCCAGACGGCTTCCTTGTACAGGTGCGTGCCGAGGCGGTGGCCTGCTGCTGTGAAGGCTTTGTCTATCGCGACTAGAGAGAGAGAAAGGGGGGGGTATGTTAGACGGGGTTGGATGTGGGTGTGGGTGTGGGTGTGGGTGTGGGTGTTCTTAGGGGGTTGGGTGGAAGATTGAGGGATCGAGGGGACGAATGAGAGATGGAAATGGAAATGGAAATGGAGAAAGGGAAAAGGGAAGGTAATCCGTTTGGGTTTGGATGAAGGGGTGGATGGATAAGGAAACGAGTAAGCAAGTAAATCGATCGAACTATTCATTCAAAGCTTGGAAGAAAGCGCAAGAAAGAGCCAAGAGAGAAGAAGAAAGGGGAGTAAGAAAGGGGGGGGTGGCTGGGGGAGAATGATGTTCAACAATCAATATCAACATCAACTTCTACTACCTCGCAGGCGTGATCGGTACACCCTTGAGGGTAGGGTAACCAGGGGGTTTAAAGTGGAGAGTTAACCCTTTTGAGGCACCCTCAGGCTGTAGCAGTTCGGGGGGGCGGGAGTGGTACCGGTAGATCAACATCAATCAGCACCAAAGAATCAAGAATCAACAATCAAAACCAAGAATCAACCCCTTTCCTTCCGTTTGACACGCCCCCCCTTCCCTTTCAAAGATCCACCCAACCACAAAACCCCTCAAAAAAAAACCCCTCAAAAAAACCCCCTCTCAAAACCTCCCCAAACAATTTTTTTTTTAAGAATGACTAAAAGAAAAAGAAAAGAAAAGAAAAGAAAAGCAAACAAATAAACAAAAAAAAAAAAGAAAGAAAGAAAGAAAGACACACGTACTCCCAATACTCGTAATCTTCGCCCCCGGCATCCGCGCAAAGCAGAGCAGGTGCGTCGCCCCGTCCACGACGGCAATGTTCATGCCGAGACCGAGCTCCTGCGCGCGGCGCTCGGCGGCGGCAAGGGCGAGACGGGCGCCGGCGAGGGTGAGCTGTTCGTGGGTTTGGGTTGGAGGGGGTGGTGGGGATGACATATTGAGATGGTGGAGAGGGGGGGGAAAGGGGGATGGGATGGGAGGGGATGGATTGAGATTGAGATTGAGGTTGAGGTTGAGGAGGGGGGTTTGGATGGAGATGGAGAGGATGGGATTGAGGCTGAGCAAGCGGGTCTGGATGGAGGGTGGAGGTGGAGATGGAGATGGAGATGGAGATGGAGATGGAGATGGAGATGGAGATGGAGATGGAGATGGAAGAAGGGGTTGGGTTTCGCTTAGATGGGGATGGATTGGGCTGGACTCGACTTGACTAGCTAGCTCGCGGTGAAGAGACTCGGCCTTTTCTTTTTTTCCTCTTTAATTTACTTTCAACGACTCGTACGTAAGGGAACAGCTTCCGTTTCCACGGCTGTAGAAGAAGCTTCTCCTCCTTTCTTCTCCCTCTCACCGTCTCCCCATCTCTTATTTCTCTTCCTATTTGCCACTCCCGGTTTTCAGTTTCTTGGTTTTCAGTTTCTCGGTTGTCGGTTTTCAGTTTTCGGTTCTTAAATCTTCGGTTCTTGAATCTTCGGTTCTTAATTCTTCGGTTCTTAAATCTTCGGCTCTTGAATCATCCTTTTTTTTTTTGGTTCCGCTGCGGAGGATTTTCCTCCATTGAGCTCCCCTTCCCTACGTACCCACCTACCTGCCTAAGGTTTCAGCTCCGTAGTGGGGTCCGGTCGGGACACGTACCGGTACATACGGAGCATACATACAGTAACGACATAGTACCTACCGGTACATAACCGCTACGTATACCTTCATCCGTACGGCTGCCTTGCATCCGCTCCGTACAGTATTGGCTTGCTTATATTAAGGCGTGTATGTGCAGAACGGGCTTGACAGAATCTTGTCAGGTCAAGTCAAGTTAAGGTAAAGGTAAGTTAAGTCAAGTTAAGGTAAGTAAAGTTAAGGTAAGGTACGTTAAGTTGGGTTAAGTGAATTTAAGGTAAGGTAAGGTGAGTTAAGTCAAGTTAATTTTAGTTTTTGACCTTAGGGTTTTGGATATCGAGTTTGGGTTAAGGCTTTGGGTTTTCTCTTCTTTGGGTTTTAGTTAATAAGAAGCTTGTACGCGTGAAACCGGCTGTGAATACGACGGGCTTAATTTAGTTAGGTTAAGGTACGATTAGACTTTTAGCTCCTGAGTTTTCGGTTTTTAGGGTTTCAGTTAGTAATGAGCTTGTATGAGTGAAACGCGTTGGTTTGAGTTGCAGACAGGTAAGCGGGCAGGGAGGCAGGTAAGCGTTTTGTTACTATATGTGGATGGGATGGGGTAGGATTGGACACTAAACTTAGATGGGACTCAATTTTCATACAAGTCTTGCAAGATGTATATGAGGCCATGTAATACATGATACGTCACGTAACGTACCGTAACGTCACCAATATCCAATTGAAAACACTTAGCTTAGCGAAGGGATGGGAATAGAGCGTCGGGGAATGATCGAGACCGAGATCGATCGATCGTTGGACGAGCGAGGCAAAGCAGACAGACAGGACTCCTAATCCCATCCCTAGCACCAACCAAACCTAATAGTAAGAAACATCTCACAAAGGACTCCATCAATTTATATTATTCAACATGCAAGAAGGCGAAAAACACATGTGAATTGTTTGAATTTTCAAGACAGAGACGTAAAACGTAAGCATTAGTCCTGTTGCACATGTTCGTTGGTTTGTTGATGGGGTAAATCCTTGACATATATATACACGGAAAAGGCCTTCTCCAACCGCCCAGCCTCTAGCCTGACCTCGCAACAGAGACCTCAGGGTATGCATGTACTTATAATGTGTGTGTCCGACAAGAGGGGGGAAGTAAAGAAGGAAAAGAACGCTCTTGTCGGGTTTTCCGCACAGCGGAAAAAAGAAAGGATGAAAAGTACAATGCGTGCCATGATTAGCCTCTCCCGCTGGCGTGCTGGGTGTAGGGTTGAGCCGAGCCGAAGGTGAGAAGGGGGAGGGGTTTGTGGTGGTAGTCGGGGTGGTCGTGGTGGTCGTGGTTATCGGGGAGAGGAAGCGAACGCTTACAAGCATTGGTGGTAGTAGTCGTTGAGCTTGGTGCAGCTACCGGAAGAGCAGCTCGTGGGACCGGAGTATTCTAGGCCTCCGCATTGGCCGTAAATGGCCACGCCAGAACCGCCAGCGCCGCCAGTTCCGCCATTTCCACCACCAGATCCGGGCTTCTCACCAGTGGGATATCCACCATTTCCACCATTTCCACCATTTCCACCAGTTCCGCCATTTCCACCAGTTCCGCCATTTCCACCAGTTCCGCCATTTCCGCCGGGGGTTTTGGTGGGGGAAGGTCTAGTTTTGGTGACCATGGTGGTTTTGGCCTTGCAAGAATTCTTCTTGGGCTTGGGCGTGGTGGGGCCGGGAGTGATTTCTGGGTTGGGCTCGTAAACAGGCGTCCCCTTATCCTCTCCAGTGGGGGGAGTGGTGGGGGGAGTCTTGTCCTCTCCAGTAGGGGGAGTGGTGGGTGGAGTCTTGTCCTCTCCAGTGGGGGGAGTGGTGGGGGGAGTCTTGTCCTCTCCATCGGGGGGTGTCTCGTCGTATACAGGCGGTGTAGTATTGTTACCGCCTGGCGTTCCACCGGTCGCTCCGTCCCAGACCGGTGGGCCTGGAATGGTGTACTCGCCGACAGCGTTGCCGTAGATGTTGAACGTGACTCCTGGGTCGGCCTCAGTGTACGCGCCTGGGATGGCGACACCTGCTGGGAGTTCCTATCGCTTCGTTAGCCCACTGCGGTCGTGTCGTCTGAGACGAGGTGCTTACGGTGGTTCCGGAACCGGTCACCGAGATCTGGACACACTCCATGTAGAACTGGGCACCCCGAGCCTGATTCGCGGAGTAGGAGACATCACCCTCGTGTAGAGCAATGATCTCGCCACGGAGGAGGTACTCGCCCGGGGCGAGGGAAGCGGGGATGGTGAGTTCCTGCTTTCCCCTGTCTGCCCTCAACTTGTCGACGCCCCATGTGGTCCCGTCGTAGCCAACTTCGGACAGCTTGACCCACACGTCTCCAGCTCCATTGGAATCCATTGGGGCGATATAAGAAATCACGGGTCCCTTGTGGGACTCAGCGATGATGTCGTCACCCGGGGTGTTGCCCTCGTGGAACCACTGGAGGGTGACCTGGAGAAGAAGTTAGTCGGAGTCAGAGCGCATTGGGACCAAGATCGTTGTGACGTACGGCGGAACCGGCGGGGACTTCAACTGTCTTCTCCGCGGGAACATTGTTGACGTTGCAGGTCATGTCAGGGGAATCGACTTCCTTGACGGGACTGTTGTTTGGTGGGTAACGAATGTATCCGCCCGCTACGTTCCCAGGACCTTGGTCCACCCCGTCCACAGATATGCTGTGGATAGTGGCATGGGCATTGGCCAGAGCGAACGTGGCCGCGCCCGAGATGATTTGCGAGTACTTCATTTGGAACTTGGGTAACAGCGACTAGCGGAGTTAGTTCGAGAAAGGGTCCGGTGAGGACAAGGTGGTAGAAGAGCAAAAGTGAATGAATGAGTTGTGTAAAGGAAAGACAAGTGAATTGAGAACGTAAGAGGTGCAAGAAAGTGCAGTGGAGGGGAGCGACTGGCGCGATGGAGAACGAGGATGAAGAGGAGAGTCGAGGAACGGGACGTTGCATAGCTATATACTTTCACTCCTCCGGGGAAAGACAACAGAGATAGATGCCAAGTGATGATATAGACAGCGACGTCGTAGAATTCAGATGAAGTCAAATTTTCCTTGCAGCGCGGCCAGCGGATTGCAGCGGATGCGGCGTCTGATCCGCGCGACGTCCTCCATGGGCGCTCAATCTGGGGGTCCATGAAACCCTCAACACAGGCCATCCAATATATCAAGCTCTCGTTAACGGGGTCGCTGTCGCCGCCAAGGGGGTTCTGGCAAGATTACGGAGCTTTTGTCGTGGCACTGCAATGGCACTTGTTTGTGTAGTATCTGTTAGTTATTTTCGGTCGTGTCGTGGGTCCGAGGCGCGCCCTTCCCTGCACCACCTCCTTATATCACGCATGGCCGAGGCATCGGGGCCCATCACGTATAAGATCACCAAGATGAGCACTGCACCTCTTAATTTAGGACCCGCCACGTTTCAGACCGGGGGCAGACGAGAGAAGAAGGATGTTTCCGGGAAACTTCGGTGGATGGGGATGGGGATGGCGATGGCAATGCGATGGCGATGAGATGATGGGGATCGGATGGGATAATGGGGATGGGATGGGATGGGGATGGGGATGGGGATGGGGATGGGGATGGGGATGGGGATGAAAAGCAAAGAGAAGAAAGAAACAATAAATGAAAGAAAGAAAGTAAGTAAAAATAAAAAAAACTAAGAGAAAACACGTGACGCGGGGAACCAAGACGGAGATGGATTATTGATTACCCGTATCCTATAAGTTAAACTAAGAGTAAAACTACGACCTCGGTTCATCTGCAGCGCTATACGATATCTTCAATTCGACTCGACCGCCAGCGACACACATACACATCGATAAGTACCAATATGCATCATCATTACCATCATGTCGTTTTCATTATCGACATTGATTTCCGCTCGAGACTTTGTTTTGCTTGCTTGTGCTCGTACCGGTACTAGGTACTACCGTACTATCCGTACTAGGTACTGGTACCGTACTACTACGACTCCTGCCTACGACTCCTACTATATTCCTACTATACTTTGGAACACGACGAGCCTCTGCGAGTCAGTTGCCAATTCCAATCCCCACCCTAGAGGCAGCGGCACCGGTAACCGGTCATATTCCGACCCGAGCGAAGCATCGAGAGGTTCCCGACTCTATTTTCATTTCGTTTTTCAAATAATTCCGCCCCCCTCCCCCCCACCTCCGGAGAAAAAAAAAGGAAAAACAAAAAAACAAAAAAACAAAAAAACAAAAAAACAAAAAAACAAAAAAACAAAAAAACAAAAAATAAAAATAAAAAACAAAAAACCTTGCGAGATACGTCCCTCCGTTCCCCGGCCAGTCCATGCGCCGAGGGTGGGCGGTGATCGACGCCCGACGAGCATGAGGTGAGGCTGGAGGTACGTAGTAGTAGGTCCGTCTCCGTGTCAGGGACAGATCTTCAGGGCGGGCGGCTTCTCGATCGTAGAAACCAGCGAAAAACCTTAAAACCTTCACAAGAAATTCATTTCCCAGCGACCGGGCCAGTCTGGCTTTACTCGCTCGCTGGCCAGCACTATTACCGCTGTGTTTAATTAATCTGCATACCGTCGCTCGTCCGAATTTCACGGCGCGAGTTGCGGCCGTAGAGTGGGCGGATGCTTTACTCTGTATGATCTTCATAACTGTCACTAACGGTGACCCAGGATAAGTTCCGGGGGTTGTTGTAACGGTAGTGATGAGCCATGTAGTTAGTCACGTGAAGCTATACTATGCAAGCCTATGCAGGATTTATAATCAGTGCCAAGAGAAATGACGGCGAGTCATCTTAGATCACGGAACGGGTCGGCCCGAGTTATGTACCACTGAGGCTGCCTTCAAATTTTAAATCTCCACTTTAAACCCCCTGGCTACCCTATCCTTAGGTAAAGGTGTAACACTGACGCCTGTGACGTTATAGTAGTACTACAGTACTATATGATACGGCTAAGTTTAATCCAGCCAAGTGGCTGGACAGCCGCATGACGTATCAGCGCCTGAAACAATCATGAGTCATTCACTCACGTGTCATTATTTTAATAAGCTATCGTACCGCGGCGCATCGAGGCGATATATGAGTGCACATGCACGGGCCACCTTGTTTGATCTTTTATAGAGACTCGTCATTTGTATAGAAGTGCATGAGCCACTTCGCAGCGGCCTCCGGGGCCTCTCCGATATAAAGCGTGTTTGAAGGGGATCCCTCTCTTACAATAACTTACCGAATGAATTATTTTGTCCATAAAAATCCTTCGGTGTATATTTGGCCTATGCCATTATCCATTCTCATAACTTTAATCTAAATATGTGAAGGCATCTTATATATATCGTTGAGTTTGAGATTGTTATCGTCGGTTACCTTGAATTAAATCTGTAAAAAATCCCGAAGGCGGCACAGTAACGGTATACCACTTAATAAATAACAACTATTAATATCAATAGGTAAAAAAAAAAATCTTGCTATGCTTGGAAAACTTTGCTTTACGAGCGTGAATTAAGGGTAGAAAGATGCATCTATTTATGGTGACCTGATACATTAAAATACAATGAAAATACAGCTAAAAACTGTCCTAAATAATTCCATTTTACTTGTCTGATTCGAATGAATATCTTAATAACCACAACCTTAATTCACAAAAACGCCCTACAGATCGAAAATGAATTATCTAATATGCTATATCGCTGAATGTATTAATTATTAAATAAAAGTTGGTAGTGATGCACGTATTCTTTTGATGGATTCGAATAAAAGTCCCATTTTCGTGTTCCTCGCTTTTTCTAGTATCTACATAGCAATTCTGACATATACGCACTACCTTAAAAAGCAGGCAGGAGGTTACTCAAACCGTCACCCGATAATCGGATGACGGTCTCTTTAAAAGATGGTCTTGAGAAGTGAGCATCAGTAGTGGATCACTTTAAGCCGATACTTAAGATTGAATAGAATCTGAAAACAAAGGATTAAAATTATTTTAATCGAGTAAACCGTCTTTTATCAAAGCTCGTCTTTTCGCCAAAAGATTATTACTAAAATAAGACCGTTTTGATCGATTAGATCGTCGTTTACAAAAGTCGGTCTTTTTACGAAAAGACCGTCTCCGATCGTTTTTGGATCATATTAGGACCGTCCTACAGCCGTCTTATAGCCGTCCTAAGGCCGTCCTTGAATTTAAACCCGTTTCGGGAGGATTTAGATTAGTAAGCAAACAAGTCACAAAATATGCTTTTCAGCTCCCCATTCCTCTTACTTACCCCTTTCTATATTTATCCTATCTCAACCCTTACTAAGCGAAGGAGCTGCACGACGTGCAGTAAACTTTTGTCAAACCGATCGATTCCGATTATAGAAATTTTAAAGCGTCAATAGATAAGCCGTTGCAGCGATAATCGTCGGTTACCTTGAGTTTAATCTGTAAAAAATCCCGACCTGGCTGCTGTTACGATACTGACAGCCCTCAGGCCTTGGCACGGTTGGTTAGAGGATTAAGGATTAGTCAGCTGCCCTAGTCCCTTCCTAGACTAGGCCCCCGCTAGCGGCCGCATCGGGGTACATGACCCCTCGCCTTTCTTGTATTATAGTTCTTCTCTTCCTCGTCTTTTCTTCTTATTACTTAGCGTACTAGTTGGTAATAGTACAATACAATTAGCTATTAGCCGTAATATAAGAAAAGACCGACCACCTTCGCTACGAAGCATAATATCGACCCCGTTTTCGATATACTTCGAACTGCCTCAACTGCAATTCGAAGGTCCTTTTAAGTTACACTAGCTCTCGCTTTCTTTCTTAAAAGTTTAAGTACTTTGATCAAACATCCTCGCTGATTTCATAATCTTAAAGAAAGCTGGACTTTTAAGCTCGAACTGCTATCGTTGCAATTCGACCTTCACCTCTTATTTTCGCTTAGACTGCTTTCGCTATAATCCTTTCTTTCTATCCTTCTTCGAAACCTCCGAAAAAACTTTATAAATACGATATATACATAAAAAGGATTCCGAAGCTTCTTTATTAGAACGGCGACTGATACTTTTATACAAACTTTACTCGAAGGCTTAAAGAACGTGCACGCTTCGCTTGTACTGATCTTTTTCTTTTTTATTAGTAATCATTGTTCAGCTTTAAGTCTTTCTTTCTACTGCTTAATTGATAGCTAGCCCTTCCGTTATGTCGTACCTTATACAAGCTAGATTAAAAGATTAAAGCTATAAAGATCACGCTTGCTTTAAAGAAACTTCTTGAACTTGAATGCTTTCTTTTTATTAATGCCGCGATCTACTGACTTTTTAATCACCGCGCGTAAGCTTTACGCGTTCATTTCTATAAAGCACTTAATTGCTACACGCGTTTTAGCGCTTTTAAAAACACTAGAAAACGTTGTAAAGCATATCGAAAGTTACTTTTCCTTTTAGCTTTTATCCGAGCTCGCCGACCTTTCTTTCGATTTTAATATTAAATAGACTAAAAGTAAAAGTAGCAAGTTTATACGCGCTTTAAATGCTTAAGTAAAGATTGCAATCTTAAAAGATATAAATAATAATAACGCACTTTCCTTATTTAACGACGCACTCTTACTTAAGCTTTAGCTAGATCTTTAAGCTATTGTTTTCATTATTAAGCGTTAACGATACGTCTTCTTTCGATTTCTTATTAGCTTAATCACTCTTTTTGCAGCACGACTTTTTACGATTAATAAGCAATTCCTTAACAGTTCAATACTCGAACCAGTCTTTATTCGCGACCTTTCCGTTAATATGTCTGCTTTTACCTTCGTTTTTACGGCTGCTTAGCAAGAACTTAGAAGCTATAATTAACGCTATCATAGCTATAGTTACACAAGCCTTAAGAAAAGAGCGCGCTTTTAAGCAAGCTTCTCCGACTACTCAACTTGCGGTCTAGCAAGCTACGAAGCCTGCCGCTTTAATAGCAGACTTATAGCTAGTCTTCGAGTACTACTTCTTAATCTTAGATCCTTTTGTACTCTTTATCGAGAGCAATAAGGTCAAATAGCCTCGCTCTTAGTTTAACGACTATCGAAGTAACGTCGACTACGACGCATAAAAGATAGATATAAAGTTTTTTTTTAAAAAATACTCTAGCAACTTCTTTATTAGCTCTTCTTAAGTAAAAGCTTATTTTAAGTGCACTTTAAGAGAAGCTAAGACGATGATTTTAAAACACATGTCTTTTGACTTTGCTGATATTTGCAAAGATTCCGCCGATATCTTGCGTATCTTAAACTACCGCTTTTTTAACCACAATCGTATCTAATCTGCTCGCAAGAACTATTACTAGCTTACAATAAGTAAGAATATGTTTTACAACGATTTCCGAACCAAGTTCACCGCTTTCGCAATCATTAGCAAGATTTCTTACAGCCGATAGTTCGAAGACTTATATAAGAAAGTTTCTTTAGCTCTTAAGACTCACTTTATAATCGAAAAGTATAAGATGCAAAGAAGCTATGAACTCTTAAACGAATACTTAGCTATTATCGATTGAAAGTCTCGTAACATCAAGTCAAAAGAAGCTGCTATTGCACGCCGCTATACTGCTTATGCTACCCTTTCGAATGTTACTTTCACTTTAAGCGTTAGTACTTCGGGCATACGTAGCATTTTAAAAAAAGAAAGCTAGCGCTTAGCTTTAATTTCCTTTGCCCTTCGTGCTACGTCTTTTGCTACATCTTTTGTTCCTTTTTTTTCGAGCTCCCGCTCGACAAGTCCTTTTGTTACAGTCTGTTACGGCTGCAAGAAGCCCGATCATATTCAACGTAAATGCTTAGACTTTAAGCTTAACAAGAAGATCGCAAAGATGACTATTAGTCAAGATCTAGCAAACTGTGACGAACTGATGAATTCTGACCTTAGAATACAAAGTGAAGAGAGGAAACAAGAAGCTCGGGGAGCTCAGGAAGGTCTATATACATGGCTACAAGCGCTAGGCCTGGATGGGTGATCAGCTGACTGCAGGTAACAAGGCAGGCTGTCACACTACCCCCTTAAAGAGCGGTCCTAGCTCTCTCAAAAGTACCTGACAGAGGAAGGAAAAAAATTCAGTCGTGAACCATGGTTCACGGGTAGAATTGCTAAAAAAAACCAAAAAATACGCCGAAGCTACAAATCGCGATAGTCGTTAAGGTCAGCGTCGTAGCCTCTAGAAGCGTTCTATTCCGCCAAAATTTCCTCCCTTTCGTCCGAGTCAAACTCGCTTAAACCCTCATTTTCCCTGACAGGTCGGTCCGAAAAAGGGTCCTAGAGAACTCGCTTCTTTGTCAAGGGCTTAGCTGGGAGGAGGGTACAGCCAGCTATCTAGTGGTCGATTGCACCGCAACGGGTATAGCGATTTGATTTGCGCTAAGCTTCGCGCTGATCAAGAGTGCTGTGAGGAGCATGCTGGAGAGTGGGGTATCGGTCTTCCAACAGCTGAGTTTGGTTAGCCTCGTGAGCGTCGATAAGCTCTATAGCGCCGAGCTCGTTGGCGTGCTGCAATTGCTCGAGTTGTTGAGCGCGGTCGACTGCCGAAAGGTCCATTGGGTCGCCGGGAAGAGGGCCCGTTGACGTGCGAGGGCGGTTCTGAAGAAGGGGAGCCGAAGGTCGAGGGAATCCGTGGGACGGGCCGGAAAGACCGGAAGAGCCGGAAGAGCGTCCAAGCTGCTGAGTGACGTGCACGTATTCGGTATACGTGGTCGGGAGAGTCAATTGGCCATTCAGACGGGTCCGTATAGTTGAGTTCAGACCATTGCGGAACGCAATAATCTTATTAGCGTCGGGCTAAGTCTGACAGCGAGCAGCGTGCAAAAGTCGTTCGAAGCGTAAGACGTAAATATAAAGAGCGTCCGTACCTTGCTTGCAAGCAAGCAGCTTATCTTCAGCTTCTTGAATTTTGTTTGGATTGTCGTAAGCGAGAGCGAGCTGATCTAGAAGAGTATTGTAGTCTTAATTGCCGGAGTCTTGAGCTGAGGCTAATTGAGTCAAAACCATTGCTTGGGGACCGGGTTCCATATTAAAGTAAACGTAGTAGAACTGCGCAGTGGGTCCGCCAAGAGCCTCACCGTCGACGAGAAGCTTGGCCTTGATTGAGGGGAGCCAGGTATCCCACCGCTGAACCGTACCGTTGAACTTATCGGGATCAAGAAGGACGCATTTGCGCTAGCGAGGGGCCGTCCGTAATTGCTCTACGAGAGACTCCAATTGAGCGATTCTCGTAAGGGGGGAAGGGCCGTCGTCTTCGTGGGAGGACATGGTAGTGGAATGAGAGGGGGCGTTTGAGTGTCGGAAACGCCAGGAAAAAGAGTAGGGAAGAGAGTTCGTCTTGCAACCGAAGTGCAAAAAATTGAGGAAGGGAGCTCTTTTAAGTCGGAAGAGCTAAGGAAAAGGTGAAGTCGTAAAAAAAAATAATAATCTGTAAGCAATAAATGAAGACCGTGGAGCACCTAACAAGTAACTTATTCCGTTCTTAACAATAATCAATAAGCCGTAATCTGTAAGCTGTAACAATAATCAATAACAATAAGCTGTAATACGACGACCTAATCGAAAGACTTTGTATAATGTGACGAACTGATGAATTCTGACTTTAGAATACAAAGTGAGGAGAGGAAACAAGAAGCTCGGGGAGCTCAGGAAGGTCTATATATATGGCTACAGGCGCTAGGCCTGGATGGGTGATCAGCTGACTGCAGGTAACAAGGCAGGCTGTCACACAAACGACCTCTTTTTAAGAAACTTTTAAGCCGTAAAAAAAACTTTTATTACAACGTAAGCTATGATATATAAAAAGAATTGCGATTTGATTTCCGGTCTTTTATTAAAAGACCTTAATTCTTAGTTCCGATAGAACTAGCACGTAATAGATTTTTTATTAAAACTACTGTATATATTAATAGCGGAGCAAACATTTTTAACGCGATTAAAACCTTTTTAGCTTTTTAGCTCTCTTAACGATTCGGTAATAAGTTTATTACTTTGCTTTACTTAATCGTCTTTACTAAGTATAATAGTGCTCCGAGTGATTTAATCACTTATGCTATACTTTTCACTTTTATTATTGATCGTCGCCGCATCAATTTCCTTTTTTTAATTACGAAGCTAAGCTTTATAAACGTTTTAATTAGTCGGAAGTTCCTCGTATACTACGATATTAACTAGCGATTTAATGCTAAACCTTAGTTATACTAGCTTTCGGATATGCTTATTATTCTTTACTTTAGCACCCGGATCTTTCTAGACCTTTTTCATACAGCTATTAAGCTTAGTTATCAAGCTGATACTTCTCGGCGAAACTAATTACTCGACGAATAAAATGCTACCTTTCAAATCAATACTCTTTAGCTTACTTTTGCTACTTTACAAGTCAAGTCGCTTAAACGAAGCTCCAACTTCGCCTGCGATCTTTAAAAACGCTTAACTATAATAAACAAGTACTTGCGCGGCTTAGCTAGTATAAATAAGCAAGATCTTATTAAAAACGGACAAAACTTTACTTTTAACGCGCACAAAAGCATCGTTAATATCTCTTTAATCGGTGCTTTTTTAATAAAGCGTAGGCTGCTCCATGGGGCCTTATGGGGCCCCACGGAGTTTTGGGTCCTCTTCACGAGGGAACCCACGGGGGGTACAAAATTCTGCCCCTCTTTATAGGGAAACCTTATGGGGCGTAAGGTTACTTTATAAGGTTTATATACATAAAAATATGTATATGCATAATTATTAATTAGGTTTACTAATCACATTTATTAATCACATTTACTAATCACATTTACTAATTACATTTACTAATCACATTTATTAATCAGAGACTTAAAGTATTAGTCAAATTTATTAGTTATAAAGGCTTAAGGGTTGGTAAAGACCCGTTCTTTAGCTTAAGTTTATTAATTATAAAGAGTTGATAAAGACCCGTCTTTTTGCAGTTACGTAGAATACGTTTAACTCGGTCTTCGCTTTTAGCTTAAGCTCTTGTTTATAAGCATAGTTTAAATAAATCTCGTTTGACTTAAGTAGCTTTCTTAGCTTTTAGCACTTGTTGCTTTACTTAAACTCATTTTCATTCGAGAACTTGAAGGTGAAGCGTTTGTATGTTAAAGTGCTATCGATAGTGAAAGGGTATAGCATTAATAGCTCTTTTAAGATGTTTTTAGCTTCGGCATGATCGCTATCGAAAAGCTTAAGAGTAAGATCATTTAAGATCAATCGAACTTTAATATCTTTATAAGTGAATTGCTTTTTAATTGGGTTGAGGAAAAAGACAAAGTGGTCGAAGAGACAAAGGACTTAAGCGCTCTTTTTTTAAATAAAAAATCAATTAGTGATTATAGAATATAGATATTATTATTAACTTTATTAGCACTGTAATGCTTGATATCGAACTTATCGATAAAACTTTTGCGACCTTTCTATTCGTAATCGAGGCCGATTAGTTTTAGAAACAAAGCGGTATCTTTTTCGTTATAGCAAGTAAATATTAAATTAATAACGTTACTATTAATATAAACGACTACGAAATCTTTATAGCGATTAAGTATCTCGTTGATTAGCTTGTTGCTATTAGTGCTAAAAGGGTTGACCTCGATTATAGCGTTATAAAGGAAGGGAATCGATATTGCTAAATAAAGAAAATAATTAGCTTGAAGTAAAGAATCAAAAAGCAAAGAATCAAAAGGAAAATAATTACTTAAGTTGAGTGTAGTTGTAATTGAGTATTAAAGTTGGTTGAAAAGTTAGGTGTTGAGGTTAAGAAGTTAAGTGTTGAAGTTGAGGTTAAAAAGTTGGGTGTTAAGGTTAAGAAGTTGAAGTTGAGTGTTAAGGTTAAGGTTGAGAAGTTGAATAGAAAGTAATTATAATGATAATAAAAAAAAGAAAAGGAAAAGGAGAAGGAGCGAGTACTTATATAAAAATAAAAGTATAGCTTAATCGTAATCAAGGTATTGCTTCGATTTATTAAAAGTGAATTATAATATTTGAAATAATGAATCGACGCGGAACAAAGAAAATAACGCGTTTTAAAATAATAAATCGACGCGAAATAAAGAAAATAACGCGTCGCTTAATAATAATCGTAATGCTTCGATTCAATAAAAGTGAATTATAATATTTAAAACACGAACTCGACGCGGAACAAAAAAGGAACGCTTCGCTTAATAAATCTGATTAATAAATCTGATTAGTAAATTTGATTAGTAAATCTGATTAATAAATGCTGCACGGAAAGAAACCTTACATGCTGCACGTCTTTTTATTACACGTGCTTAGCTCGGCTATAGCTCGGTTATAGCTCGGCTATAGCACGTGCTTTACCGTACGTAATCTGATTAGTAAATCTGATTAGTAAATCTAATTAGTAAATGCTGCACAAAAAGAATTAACGTACTTAAGGCTGCTATACGTAACTTACGTAAAGCTATTATACGTAACTTACGTAAAGCTGCTATACGTAACTTACGTAAGGCTGCTACACGTAACTTACGTAAGGCTATTATACGTAACTTACGTAAGGCTGCTATACGTAAC